GTATTTTAATATGAGCACTTGTTTCTGATGTTGTAACATGAACATATAAAATCTACCATGATTCTAAGATTGTAGATTCTACACCAGTGAAACAACATCATCTACAATGATACTTGGAAAGATCACATGGAAACCATTCTCACTGATGCAAATTTGATAATTAATTTTGGTAAAAGTTTGTTTTGCCATGCCTATGTTCAATTTTCTGAAAAAGTGGGGTAAGTCAAGGTCAAAATTGGTTATGAAAGAAGCAGCTGATATGAACTTTGCTGGATGTTATTGGAAATTTTGCTCAGATTCTGCCATAGTTGCTCAACACCTTACAAATTTGTTGAGTATGAAATGCAAGTTTTATTGGTCTAACAAATGTCAAGATGCTTTTGATTAATTAAAAGCCATACTTAAAAGTTCACCAGTTCAAATTTCAGTCAGTTATTTAAAATGTCTGTTGATGCAAGTGATATTGAAGTTGGTGGAGTATTGATTTAAGATGACAGAAATGGTGTGCTATTTTTCTAAACAGGCACCAGAGAAACAATTCCACAGTTGAGAAAGATGTTTGGCTTTAATATTGGCCTTGCAGCACTTTGAAGTGCTCCTTCTCCAATTATTGCATTCAGCGATCACAACTCCTTACTTTAATTTACAAAATGAAATCTAAAATCTAGAGATTGTTGAAATTGAGTTTGATATTGCAGGAAGACAACATTGACATTAGGGAAACAATACTCTGATGGCAGATTTACTCTCACATACATAGAAATACTATATTGCTTAATTTTTTTTTGTTTTGTGACATTCATAAAACAGCTTCCTATGTTTTCATATTATAGAATCATGTGTATATTTGAATAATATATGAAAGAAAGCTTTATTGTACAAATCTGTATTTTTCTTTATAAGAGGAGCTATTATGTCTATTTTATTTATATTGTGCTTGACCTGGCTATCCTGATGGGACTTTTTGCCATGTTTGTAAATAAGTTGTTTAGTGATATTAATGTTCAAGGTCATGCCATATGTAAAAGCAAACCTATGACCCACATCCTGGTAATTTATTGTCTGGGTTTTTAAATAAAGTTGTGGTAATTATTCATTCCTTTTTTAATTTTGTTTGTGGAATTATTTAGTTTTGTGTTCAGGTATAATTTGGGAGGAATCATTAATTTAAATTATTCATTTGAATCACAAAATGTACTTTGACATTTTGGACTATAGCACTATTTTGGGATTATTGCAAATTCATTAAAGATATTATGGATTATAACATTGTGATACATCAAGACTGTTGGTAGATCAACTCATTCAAGACTATTTGTATATCAGCACATTTAAGACTATTGGAATTAATTTGGACTATTCCATACTTTTGAATTTGTGATAGAACATTTTTTGAATTATTTTGGTTTTGATACACCATTCTGAAATTTCTTTTTTTAATTTTCACCGTATATCTTTGGGAAACAAATTGCTTTTTGAACTTTAAAAAATCTTTTGGTCTGGCTCCTTTTTGTTCAGACTTTATGACCATAGAGTTGTAAAAATATGAAACTGACTCAGATCTCTATATATGACAAGTTTTCTGCACTTGATCAATAGTTCTGCATAAATATTTGCATACCACCTTAGTATCTAAAGCTAACCATATCTAAACCAGACCAAATACACTATATGATAAATTTCAAACAAACATTTATTAAAAATAATATATTTAAGCACTAAACGAATCAGCTCAAGTAAGCTTGAAAAATACTGGAAAGGTTATTGTTTTGTACAAAGTACTTGTAGTAGGGGATAGTAACACTGAAACTTAACAAACCTCAGAAAATTGTAGATTTTTACTATATGGCTCATCAGTAAGGGTCATATTGTGTTATGTATATCTATGTTGTGTTTTGAATTTGTGTCCTGACTGTAGATTATTAGGTTCGTTTTGTAAACAACATATTACATAGCTAAGTTTTGTCCATAAGTGTAGACTAAACCTTAAGATAATTGTAAACAGTTTACTAAGATCTGAGTTTAGGACATTGGTTGCCCTATGAAAACCCTAGTTAACCTGATGTTTGTCATATTTTTTACTAAATTTTAAGTGAAAGACCTGCCCTTGTTTACAACTTAGTATGTGCTTTAAATGAATTTTTGACCTTCACCCTGGTCCTTTTATTGTGTCTTAGGTTTATTTCCATCAAAATTAATTATTCCAAACTTAACATCTGTCATGTTAGTTGAATTCAGATATAATATGAGAAGATTGATTTAAATTATTTATTAGAATTGTAAATTGCTCTTTGACTTTAGGATTAAATTGCTCTTAGAATTATTGTGAATTCATTTAAGGATGTTTTGGATTGTGTTATTGTGAAACATCAAGACTGTTAGCACAAAAACATATTTAAAACTTGGCACATTACCAAAAATTCAAGATTGGAAATCATTCAGAACACTTCTGGAATTTGTTCAGATCAACATGTCATTTTTTGCTTGTGATAAAACTTTTAGGACTTTTTGGGACTTAAATCACAATACTGTAAGTTCTTAATAAATTTTCACTTTCTAGGGAAACATAGTTGTTGAATCTTACTAAACTTTGTGGGGGGGGAACTACTATCATAAAGGAAAAATAAAATGTAAAGGAAATGTAGCCTTCCCATGTGGGCAGCAAGTAGTTTCATTCCTATATTATATTCACAGAGTGAGAGATTTTATGCACTATATAAACATTTTGTGAAAAAAAAATATAAAATGGAATCAACAACTTGTACAATTTTATGGAATTAATTCTGATTAAAGAAAAAGTGCAAAAACTAGGTTTAGCACATTAAAGTGGCTATTTCACCATAAACAAGTTATAATATATCAAGCAAATTTAATGAAATAAAAAATTATTACAGAAAAAAAATAATTTACATTTTTGATAAATTATGATTTGATGATTATAATTCAGTAATTAGTTACAGATTAGAGTGTGATATGAAATTCTTGCAAATTGTTATTTGTGCGGTGTGGATGGCATCATCAGGATGTTGAATATGAGATAAACGTTTGCATGAATTAATAATAGCAATATAGGAAAATTAATAAAATCAACATACTAGTTTAACATCAACTTTGAAATAAGAAAAATGTTGTCAAAGTTTAAGATATCATAACCATATAAACCATCTTCATTCCAGCAAGCAATAGTTTAGATATATCACAATTGTATGTTCATGATTGCAGACAAAATAAATTTAAAGAAAAAAATATTTGATAGGTACTTGAAACTGCACATTCATGCTTTGGATAATCGATGCTAGCTATTGTGCTAATATCCTAGAAATGTAAATGTCATTATATAGCTGGAACAGTTAAACACTTAAAAAGAATGTCAGCTGAAGAAATAGATTCCTTATTATCAACTGATAAAAAAGTAGGATGTACTTATTTTCCTTAATATAGCAATGGACCAACAAAAGTATGATGGACTTGTTTCTTTCTTAAGTATAGTAACGGACTAACCAAAGTAAGATAGACTTAATTCTTTCTTCAGTATAGTAGTAAACTAACAGAAGTAGGATGGACTTGTTTCTTTCTTCAATATAGTAACGGACTAACAGAAGTAGAATGGACTTGTTTCTTTCTTCAATATAGTAATGGACTAACAGAAGTAGGATGGACTTGTTTTTTTTTTCTTCAATATAGTAACGGACTAACAGAAGTAGGATGGACTTGTTTTTTTTTTCTTCAATATAGTAACGGACTAACAAAAGTAGGATGGACTACTTTTTTCTTTGGTATGGTTATGGAATAACAGAAGAAGACATTTGGCAGCATGCGATATAAATTTTAGGTTGTCAAGTACGAAATAGTATAACTATTATAAAGTCTGTATCCATCGTATCAGACAATGTAGAATTGGTTGGATTGCAAAGTCTGTATCCATCCTACTAGATAATGTACAATTTATTGAAAATTTTATTTGTATCCCTCAAAAATGATTCAGCTGATAATCAGTCTGTACAATTTAAACAAATCAGAGATTATATAAAATTCCAAACTCCAAGTTCCAATCTCTAAAATTAATGAGTAGACAATCTGTTAAGAAAGATGGAGAAAGGAGGACATGTTCATGTTTTTTTTTTTAAGCTTTGGCGATGTTATAAGATATATAGCCATTAATTGAATAAGAAAGCTTTTATAATCATGAATGTGCCAGAGGATCTGTTATAGTTTGCTTTTTAAAAAGAATGAGCTTTCTCATTTAATCTATATTTATCTTTGTTGGCTTTGTTTCTAAACATTTGATAACAGTTACAAACATCAAACCAATTACAGCGATAACAAGAAATATTATAATTAGATATCCTCATATAAATATATTTTCGAGCTGATTTGGCTAACTCAGATAAATGATTTGAAATATTTGCACTCTTAATTTGAATTCATCAAGGAATTTGACTATATTACTTCTGCTTACAGAACTTGTTCCAGCTTCGCCACCACCTCTACAACATTTAAGCCCTGTTAACTTTATTGCAAAAATTTGCGAAAGCAAGAATTTATATAAATGTAGGTATTGCTGCAAAAATACTACAGATTGTTACACTTTTTTCCTTAGTTGTTTTAATGTTTTACCTAATGGGAGCTTTTTTTATAACCTTTGCATGTTTCTTAATGATATTCCCACATATTTTTTTATCTCTTAGATGCAGGGTTTTTTTGTGACCTTTGCTTTCAATTAATTTTCATACACCTGTTTCTTTTCAAATATAACTTATATCTTATATTCACTGTGTGTGAGAGAGTGTGGGTGGGTGTGTGTGTGATTGGATATTTAACATAGCCTTAAACAATTTTAGTTATATTGTTACAATGTCTGCTGTTTGGCAGTTTATAGTGATGTAGCATCATGTCCCACCCAGTCGCATTATCCTGACACCAGGTCAACCATTCTTTAAACTTACCTCATAATTTTGAGCGCCAATCGAGGCAGCGATTAGTACCGTTTTATAGGTCTTTGGTATGACTTAGCCGGGATTCGAACCAGCGACCTCCCACGTCAGAGGTGGACACTCTAACCACTTAGGGCATCGTAACGGCCGCGAATATTTGTAAATCATATGTGATCAAATGTTTATTTTACTGCTTTACCCTAATCAGCCTATCTTTATAATTCGCTTCCTTCATCATCAGAAAATAATCTTGTAGGTAACGTGTTCTCATCTACTAAAGTTTCTGCTCCTCCAGTTTGTTAAATGGTTCATTTGTTTCAATTACCTTTTTTTGTGTTACATGCCTCCGCTCAGCTGTTGGTACAATATGTCACGTACCCCCTGCTGAATTATTACTTACACCTGAGAATGATAGGCTATACAATATCAAGTAGTTTTTAGCCTCCTGTCAGCAAAGCCGACGCTCTAAGTGTATAAAAAATATAAATAATAAAGTGAAAGGTATAATATTAATTAAGTATATCAAGGTAGTCAACAATTACAGGGCAATTTTTCAATGCAAGATTGCTTCCAATCAATACATGACCAGTTCAAATTGCTAGTTATTTCAACATGCGAAATTAAGCGTGAGTTTTTCCATCCCGTATCCCTTATATGTTACTCATCTGTAACTTGCGTCTTCTATTCTGTTGTCAGTACTTCCGGATACTCTTGTTTCCGTTCTCCTGGCCCTCCTTGTCAGTACTTTTGTTACCCTTGTTTCCATCTCCGCCACTACACCTTCGCACTACTGCCTATTCTCTCAACCCACCCCGTCTTCTCCTCTCTCTAATCTTCCGGTGTCGTTGTATCCCACCCGGAAAGCTTCATATGGATTAGAAGGGACGTAAAATTTTGTACCCTCGCTTAATCACATGAAAATCAACACTCTCACTTATCTTTCATCAGCATAATGATAATTAATCATTAGGTCAACACATACAATCACGTCTTAATATTACATGCACACTTGTTCTGAAATTAAAGCTTTAGCAAAAATAATAATATCACGACTTCTATATATATGCAATAAACAGACGACGAACAGTGCAAAACTAGTATCTAACGAGCCTGAGCGCTTTCGACTCTTAATGAGTCTTTTCTGATCCATACATGTATATCCCATTGTAACCTCAAAAATATTCCTAAGCATTTCCTATTACAATTTATATTTTTAAAAAAAACAACACTATAACGGCCTAATTGTAGGAGTACAAGGCTAGAAAAAACTAACTCTGTAGAATCCACTATTCATTCAAATACAAACATGTACAAGGTCTAAGAATACTCACTATTAAATTCAGTTATGCACCACGATGCGACATAGCAGCAGATTACACTGTCCATTTGATTCTTAAAAACTATATACATTATTCTTGAATATTACTAATTTACTATACGCTACATTACGACATGTTGATAATTCATACATATACGTAGAAGATTAAATTTCTAGTAAATTAAATGCAATTTATAACATAAATCCGAAATTTGACTACCTTAGTTCTGATTGGATACCGGTGGTCTCTTTGCAAACTGTCTTGGCTAGTGTCGTTGTGTTATAAGGTCGGTTTTGGGGTCTCTAAGCCTAAGCCTAATCACTGCTGATTGCAAAACAGCGTTTCTTACTACCGCGGCAATGTTCTCTTTGAAGTATTAGGGAATAGACCTTAACGCAATGGCTAATTCACCGACATGTAGTTGCTTCGTTGTCTAAGTCGCAATATTACCCAAAGGACATTGAATTGCGAATTCTAACAGAAGACATTTATAAAAAAAAAAAAAAAGTAGAAATTGTTAGCAAATTTTCTCAACGTGACAAAATAGATTAAGAGCAAAGTGAGCTAGAACTATTTTATTACTCTCAGCGGGTGATATCCAAACATTTCCTTGTCTTACGAATCCAAAATAATATAGTCATTCACAACAGTTCGTTGGTAATAACAGTTTCTTATATTACCTTTTATAAAATTTATTATCCATTTCATCACATCATGTAAGTTTTAAATGAGGATTTATTAAACCTTTATAATGTTTATATATATATATATATATATATATATATATATATATATATATATATATATATATATATATATATATATATATATATATATATGCAATAAACAGACGACGAACAGTGCAAAACTAGTATCTAACTAGCCTGAGCGCTTTCGACTCTTAATGAGTCTTTTACAAAACATAGACAAAACAAACAAATAAAACATAGAAAATGTTGTGTTTGTAATACTTTACAATGCATATGTAAATATCCAGAAAACCCTGTTGAAAAATGTAAATTATGTTTGATCGATCATGAGAGAAAGACAGACAGAGAGATAGAGAGATGCGAATATAAGTTTCTATAGTTCTTTTTTATAATCTAAATTTTACCATATTATTAAATTGATAAAATAGCAGATGGTGAATGCATTTCTGGAAAACTGCTCAAAAGTGTAACACGCAGTAAAAATGGATGATGATAAATATACAATAAGTGGAAACGAGGGAAGGCGAAAATAAAACAAAGGACTATAACGGGTAAAATCTTACTGAAAATTAATGGATTTAAAGGGAAACAATTCTTCATCAAAGTTTGTATAACGTGGTTGAAGATATATTTAACTAATTTGGTGCATGTAACGTGTAACCCATCAAGACAAAATATCCTCACTATATAATTCAGGAAGTTTAAGTCATTCACTAAATAATACTTGCTATCATAAGGTAAGGTGAATATATAGGCAATATCACATTATTTAATACCTATATCTTGATTGTACGATCTAATTAAATTCACATGCTGGCAATTTGTACTTTATTTAAAAAAAATTCTAAAGTATCCGTGTGCATATCACTCTTTATATTCCTTTCCACAGCACATTACTTACAAGCGTTACCTTTGTTCCTTTCCTCTACATCTGTACTGAATAAGTATAATGTTTTTCTAGGACTGAAAATTTTTCTATCCGCATACTGTTTAATTGGTTTTTATTCCTTTATTTACAAACAGTTGTTATAATATTACCATTTATGTAGTCACTTGTATAAAAGAAAAAGAAAAAAAAAATCTCACGTATTTTTCTTCATTACATCATCATAAAATATTTGTTTCTACAAGAATCCATAAAGAATTAGTACCCATTATTAACATTTTAATTTCATCTCCATATTGTGTTTTTAGCTCCTTTTAGAAATAATGCATATACACATGTATATTCTAAGATTAGAAATCGTTTGGAATAATTTATACTTTTGGAATATGATAGAACTTTTAGGACTTTATATTTTAATTCACAAATTTTGAATCTTCTTTTTAAATTTTCACTTTGTATTCCTAAGAAATTTTTTGTTGAATTTGACTAAATATATTGGTTTTCCCTCTTTTATGTTACTTATTTTAAGACCAAAGAGTCGTAACAGAACATTGGGGGCACTTATCTGGGATATAAATTTGTAAAAATATTTCAGAAAACTTCAGTTAGTTTTTAAAGTTTAAATTCACTTCTTTATTTCTGAATGTTTTTAGCCCCGAGAAATCGTTTCTCATGAAAACTCTTATTATTCCTAACAAAAAAGGGTTAGAGACCTTAAAAAAGGACGAATTACTTCAGTTTGACAGAAAATATGTTCTTTCATAAATGAAGGCTTCCTTAACAATGTAAGAAATAAAAACATATTCTGGTCCAATATTTGGTTAAAAAGAATTATTTGGATAAAAGTTATATAGGTTTGATTAGTAAGTCTCCATCTGGCTCTGAAATGAAATTAAAAGAATTGACATTAAAACCAGAAGGAAATATAATTAAGAAAGCTTCAATTTAAATTAGAAATGATGCAACTGGAGAGTTAGAGAGGGAGAGGGGGATAGTGGAAAGTACAAACCCTCCCCTTTATATTCAAATTCAGGTTTTGATGTTACCATAAATATTAGGTTAATACACCCTTTCCAAATAAAAGTAGATCAATATTTTCCTCATTTTGAGAAATTTTGCCTAAAACGTGAAATGGTCAAAAGAGCATTGGACTTAGCTATTACAAAGTGTATTTACTGGCAAGCTTGTGAAATCTATACTTCACTTTTGGACAAGTGCTAATTATGGTGTGGTTGAGGAATATGTCTTCAAATGTGATACGTTGGTACATGAGGCATATCATCAAAGACTTAGGAGCTAGACATCAAATTTGCAAGGGAAAATAACAAAAATTTGATTTGTGGTGCTCATCTATGAGTGGTGGTCAAGACTATGATACACAGTTCATATTAATTGAATAGTTTAAGAATTGCGTCCATAATACATCAAGGTCCATCTTGATGAGCAAAAGGACAACACTTTAGAAAATGCTGCTTGTACAACTGATCATTATTCCTTGATTGGCAAAGTTTAATTTATCAATAAGTCTTCCCTTCAGCATTTTTTGCGGGCGTAAGAGAAGTAACCTCAATATCATACAAGTACTTACCAATCTCAATTTGGCAGAACTTTTAGGAATCAAACAGCTGATAAGACCGATCAGAAATCCTTATATCTTCTTAAATTTACTTGCTGAAGAAATAAGAGAATGTTTATCTGATTGCTACAAATTGAAAAATAAACAACAGAATAAAGATAAAGCTATTTCAAATGGTCTTATTTCAAGGAGTTCAACGTCACGGTCATGTATTGAAAGCAATGCATTTGTTGGGTCAAATAAACCCCAGTCTATTTTCAGTTTGGATAATTATGAACCAGTCATGTCGAAAGGTTATGTGCCATTTTCTGATTCTTTGAAGACTGTCCCAATTAAAATATTATGGAATACGGGAGATTTTCAGAGTCTTTTATTATCACGTATTTTGACTTGGTCTGAGAAGTCTTCTTATAGTGAACGTGTTTTTTTATACTTGAAGTTGAGTGCGGCTTTGTTAATGTTCTCCTCCATTGTGTACATTTGTTATCAAATTTAGTCTCAGAACTCGTGACAGTTGCAACAGTGATGTATTTCATCCATTGAGAGCATTTGTTCATTTTTAGGCAATGACTTACCTGGAGATAAAGTTATGGTTAATCCACTTGCAACTGACAAGCCTTTCTTGTATCAGAATGTTGATCCTATTGAAAATGA